CACCTTAGTTCCACATACCAGCAGATTGAATTTGAGGAGGGCACTGAGGATCTCAATTATTTCAGTACGTAGAATCTGAGTCCATATTTCAGAGTATACACATAAATCTGATTTGGGCAATAGCTGTCAATTAGATCACTGTCTCTCTGCTTTTAAATTCTCTGGCTAGTACCAGCAACTAGCACAAGCACTTTAACAATACAGTTAAGCAAAGACAGAAAGAATAAGAAAGTTATAGTCTCACAGGAACTGTCTGTGAATGGTCCCAAATCGCTCTCCATTCACTTAAGGATTTAGTTCCCCAAAACAAAGTAAAGCATGCCCTGTATTCAGACTCTAGACATCCGCTTCAGGAAATGGGCTTTGAAAAGGCCAATTAGGCACATTTTTGCAAATATTTTTGTGTGAAATGTACTCACTTTGCCCTTTGCCTTTCTACACTGCCAAAATAGGACATAAGGCTGATAGGTGCGGTAATAACCATATCGTTATTGGCCTATGAAAAGGATAGTTTTGGAAGTTCAAGCATAAGCTCCCTTGTTTAGAAGAAAGTCCTTGGGAAAGCAAACTTGGTCCCACAAGTAAGGTTATCAAGAGCAAGCCACATGCAACCTCCTGGCAACACTGAAGTGCTTGGAGACAACAGCTATCTAGTTTTTGGGAGGCCTAAGGGAACCAAAGGAAACCAGGAAAGGACAGGGTCTGCCAGAGCCCAGTCTAGTACCCACTACTTTTGCCCTTGAGCAGAGATTTTCCTCTGAATGTGCCAGACCCTATTTGTGACATTTTTAGATAAAAGTGTATGTTCTTTTGTTGACCATGCTCCTTAAACTCAGTTCTCTCAGACTTTGCTTTCTCTTGCCCAAAGGATGCTCTACCCAGTGCAAAATAGCAAGTCAAATTTAGTACAATTTAGAGTGTAAATTCCCAAGTGAAGACAATGCCCCTTGAGTGTTTATTGCAGAAGTCACTTCTCCAGTCCACACTTATGGTTGACCATGCTTACTTTGCAGGAAGACTAAATTGCTTTGTGTCAGTTTGTTTTTATAGCAAGCTGGCTGTTTATGTTGGCTGTGCTGCAGTAGAAACAGTTTTCCAGTAGAAATGATGGAATGCTATTTCTGCAGTGACTTTTGGTATTCGCTTTAGTTTCTAAATGGCCCTGTAGCCATGCAGAACTTTTTCTTGGTGAGGTTCTTTCCCTAATGATGAGGAAAGGTATCCATGCCACAGATCAACTAATTGATAAAAAACATTATATTAAGAATTTTTAATGACACCTTATTAAAAAAAATAAACACCAAACAAACAAAACCACAACATATTTCCTTTAACTCAGCCTACTCCTGGGAGAGTATGTAAAGCACTTAGCTAACAGATTTTTTTTTCCAAAATCTGTACATTAAACAAATAAATTGGAATCATTTGGTAACTGAAGGCAAGCCCATTACAAGTAAATACAAGGTACAAATTCATGTTTATGTAAAATGCTTTAAAAAAAAACAACAAACCTTTTGTTAATCACCATTTACTAAATTAATGTACTAACAGGGTTTGAAGTAATGAGATTGCTTGGCCTGAAATGAGCTTTGGCTGCGCTCTTCTTTAAATCTCTCAGGATCGGTGGGAGGAAGCCTGGGAGGTCTGCAGAGGAGCTCAAGCACATTGCCAAATCCTTGCTTGCTATCGCAGGCACTGGGTTGTGTAATGTCAGTTTTGTACTTGAAGATTTTGAACCTGTTAGGAGTTACAAAGTGAGCACGCTCTGGATTTGAGGCAGGAAGACCTCATCCATCTCTGAGGAAGAAATCCATGTGGAAAGTGTGACTGGGGATAGGTGGAGAGGCTTTCTTATTTGACTCTGCTGGTGGTGGGACTGGGTGCAGAAAAGAGTGATTGCCATCACTGCCATCTGTGTTGCACTGGCACACGGTGTTGGGACATCCCTGGGGTACCATCAGGGGTGACATAGAGCACAAAAATGTAACATGCCTAAAAGAGAAGGTAGATTTCTAATTCGGGGAGCAATTTTTTTTAAAATGCAAAAGCACTTTGGGGGAGCCACTGCTTTTTGAATGTTTCCTCTTTCGAAAACACACCTGTCTAGGAATGTTTGTATTTTGAATGTGTTAGCCGTGATCTTAGCGCTTGAGTACATATACTTAGGTACAGGGATCTTATCTGGGGGAAAAATGCAGTTTGGAAAGTAACTAATATGACATATCTCAAAGACATTTGAAAAAAAAAGGCATTTCTTCTGATTTGGGGCATTTCCCCTCATACAAATTGTTGCCTATCAAACTCATAAGCATATGAATTTCTTTGACTATACTATTGTTCAATCTGCCTGTTCATAATTCAGCTTCTTATTCCATTACAGTGCTTGAATGATTCACATAGAGTGTTTCCAATCCACTTTTTCTATCTTGTGAAACTTTTTAACGAAACGTTAGCATTTGCAGGCACCAGATGTTTTGACATAAGGAGAAGCAATATGTAAATTTTAATCCATGCTAGGAACAATAGCCTGGAGGCACCTTTTTCTTATTACATGAATCATATACTTAACCACAATGTGGTGGATTATATCAAAATCATCACCACCCTGTATATAGAACACTTGTCTTGTGGTTGCCAATTAATGAAACTGATATATATTTATCTTGATGGGTACCAGTGATTTAACCAATAAGCCTTACCATACTTCACTGATGCAGCCTCCTTTATAATTAGACTTTTGGTCTGATTATTATCACAATTTCATACATTTTCCTCTAATCTCCCATTGGTTGACAGTACCAATGATGCTGACATTAAATCTGTCTGCCGATTGCAAATATCACTACTTTTAATCAAGCAGTGTATCACATAGTGCTTATTTAAATCCCTGAAATAACTTTTGATTTTGTTTTCTGATGCTGTTTATTTAATCATTAAGTGTCTGAGTCTGCAACAGGCTTAGCATTGCCTTTCTTCAAAGTGAACTGAGGGCCCTTAGTCCCTCACAAAGAAGCTGAGTACCTTTTATGATCAAATCCTAAGTGCATAATAAATATGTAAAAAAGCAAAGCTTCTTTCCATAGTTAATCATTGAACTTTAAATAATATTTATAATAAAATTCTGTTTTGATACTGATAGGGGTGTCTTAATGATTTCATGAAATAAAGAGCCTGGAGAACATCTTTGTTACAAATAGAATGTTTATCTGATGTACACAAACAATGAGCAATATTTTACATGAAACAAGGAACTATTACAAATAGCTGAAAAATATATATTACTACACAACTACTTTTGAATTATTTCATGCACAGAAAGCACCAAATGTGTTCTAAAGAAAGCAGCACTTTTTATATTAGGAATTCAAAATTTAATCCAAATCCTTACTTATTTCATTAAGTAAGAGTATCTTTTAGTGCCAAATGCTACCTAATTATCAGCTTTAGAAAATGTTTTACATCTTAAAATACAATATTCTGTTTATCCTAGATTGTCTGGGGAACATCTAGTACATTACAAGGTTTTTGTACAGCATCTTAGTGATTTAACTGATATCATCATGCCTGCTAGCAATTTTGCAACATTCTGAAAACACTTTCTATAAATCAAAGCCTTAGCAGCAGGCATAAGCAGATGGCAGGAGACCATATTAAAGAATGTATCAATTATTTTTATTAATGGGAGACTACTGGATCATGATGTATCATAATGGACTAAATGTTTAGCAGTTGTGAAGTGTTTTGCCTGTTAGGTATCTCAGATGTTCTTAGCGGATGTTATTATATTGTCTTGTGATGGCATTCTTTGAGGGATTGGATAGTGAAGTATCACAAGGGACATATAAAGAGGTGTTTTAATTTCAGTCCTTTAATTGTATTCATATAATAGATATAAAATACTACTATGTAGAAAATGTAATTTTAAAAAGATTGCATGTACAGTACATGATAAAGTACATTCTGTCTGCATACAATGACTTAGAAAACAAGATACTATATGGTTAACAATGAAAAATAGCAATTATTATAAAAATATTCTACAGTCTCATAATAGCAATGTAAATGCTTTTACTTATCTAAGAGACTTAACATAATTTTAAATTACAATAATTTTACATCCTCCAGTCATATATACAGCCTTATTAAAGTCAAAATGTATTATAACAATGTTCTTATTAAGATTAAATGACTGAATTATAGTTATTTTACTATATAAAGCAACTGTGTTCCTGTTTGTTAAAACTGTTTGCACTTACTGTAGCTTTTCACACTGTTCACGCCATGCACAATGAAATAATTTAGTTTTCTGTTCTTAGTATAGCGTCTATATCCATTTCATGAATTAAACAGAATGTTAATACTTCAGCACCCTTTCCTTTTGTGTAAGTATCAGTCTGCTGTTTTGTGTATTCTGTAAGAGTATGCCCACCAGCTTTGAAACAGCTGCTACTGAAAACAAGCAGGAACTCCTCATTTAATACATCTTGACAAAAATAGCCTGTTCCCCTCGCCCCCTGCCCTTCTTGAGGTCAGGCTCTGTTAAGTCTTTAAATTCTTGTCCAGGCCCAGAGCTACAGACATATTATGCATCTCTTTCATGAGATTTCATTAAACAGATCTCTGTAGGAAACAGCTAAAAAGTATGTTTTGCTTGCACCACATTTCAATAAAGCCCTCATGGACAGCAGAGAAATTCTGCATGAGGAAGGATGTCAGGATTTGGCCCTGTAGCCATGAAATCACTTTCCTCTGTGAAAACTGACAGGACTGTGCTTTGCTCTGCTCTGCTCTTAACAGTCCTCTCACATTAACAGCAGCCTTACCAAACCTGGGATGGGAGAGAGAGTGCTTACTCCAAGAAGTCTGGGATACGGTTACCAGCACACATACCTAAATAACTTTAATACCACCTATTCACACCTTGAATGTCCTAGATTACTGTTTCTTACACCCTGTACCACCATTTAATTTCAAGGGTGATGCTGTAATACAGGTTATGGTTAAAATACTAATTTATGATGGCTTCCTACTAGAAAAGTCATAATGGTAGTGAAACAACGTTGCCATAATACACACCCACAGGTGTGAATACATTTAGTGTTTTGGGCAAGGGGGGTGGGGAGCTTTGTATGAACGAAGACAGCTTGAATATGTTTAGATGCAATACACGTTAATACAACATATTGCAAAAGGAGCATTCACTGTCTTCTGTTAAGTTTCTCATGCAGGAAAAATAAAAGTCTGGTGCTTCAGACTGAAGCAATTGTCAGAAGAATGAAAATCAACTTTAAAAATTTAATGGATGTACTATAATGTTTTTTTTAGAACAGTGCTTATAAAAGTGATGAAATTCAGGTTGTTATTTAAAGTCAATATAGTTCAGAAGTATGGTCTAACTCCCATGTAAAAGTTCAATGGGAAAATCATGTAATACATTCATATTTAATTTCTTTTTCTCTGTTATGAGCAACCCACACTGGTGTATTTAAAACTAATGTAGTAGAAACTGCAGTACAAGGACAAATGGCATTTGATATCAACCAAGTATCCCTTCTTTTCATCAGCTGAAATGGACAACACACATCCTACACTAGACATAATGTGAGCATAAATGTTACTTTAAACTCATCATATCTTATATTCAAATGTCAATATTAAATAGTCTTTGGTAAAAGTAAGTGGTTCCTCTTTTAATGACCTTAAATTACAGAAGCAGCCAATTAAAATGCTGATCAATCTTATGTTCAGTTACCTTTGGTCAATATCCATTTGTTTTTCCATCCATTTCCTCCACGCTACTAAAGAAGAGAAAATTACAAGAACCTTGTTTGCTGTTATTATTTTTAACCATGCAATGGAAGCGTACAGTAGTCTGTTCTGAGGGTCAGGTGCTGGCCTGTCTGGGAAGCAACATTAATCATAAACAACAAGAAGATCAGTACTGTTCTGTTCAGTTTACATCTGAGTAATTTGCACAGGCTTATAGAAATCCTTGATTTTCCTAAAAAACATATATTCTTGTGAAATTGCATAGTCCATCATCTTTCATAGCCATCCAGATGTAATTTATTATCCCACTGCTAAATTCCCAGTTAAGAAACTATCATGACACTAGCATGGTTGGTCAAGAATGGGCTACGGCCCTGGTGTAACACAAACCTCACAAGGACTGTGAGGAGGAGGTATCAATAACAAAAGAGGCAAAAGGAAGAAACAATTGTTCTGCTCTTAGATAATATGCTTAAATACATTTAAAATGTTCATGAAAACAAGAATCCGCTTTAATCTCTTCTTACTATTTCCAATCCCATGACGCTTCAGGGGTGTGAGGCAGGCTCAGTGACAGCAAAATTAATGCACACTTTTGAAACATATTTTGAATTGTTAAAGAACTCCCTAATGTGATCTTTTGGCTTTGGTTGAGGAAGAGCTACGAAGAACCTGTCCCAGCTTATTTTCCCATGTCTTAATATTACAATTAGAATGAATGCACTTAATGTCCTCCAGGAAGATGTATCACTCTCCAGAATTTCAGTATGCACAGAAATGATATGCATTCTATCTGCCTTTTAGCTGCCAAGCCTTTACTGAGTCATCAAAACACATTTTCTGAACGCCCCCTCCCAGCAAGCTAGTTACAAGCAGCAGTGCATCACATCAACACTTCTGAATATCTCCTTCAGTTTGAAAAGTCTTCCTTTTCAACTTTTCTGTAGTGAATCCAAAGTCAAATCTGAAATTAAATTATCTTTGTTTCAAGTGTATGCAATGGGAATCTTGTAATTTCCCTCTATTTTCATATGGATAAAAGGCAAATGTATGGGTAAAGTAGAGTCCCTTTGGATAAACCTTACTGTACTGCCAAAGGACACTGAAAGCATTGCCTAGAAGCCCACTGCTGTGCCTCTGAATTCTGGTCTCTTCCACACAAAAAGGGACACAGTTTTAATATTCTTGGAATAAGCAGCTGACATAGCACTGTGACTAGCAGTGCTTGTTTTAAATTGTGTTAATTGTAACCCGGAGTATCTTTGTGGAGTCTTGTGCACCCATGCAGTCTTTCTGCTGAAATGTCATGCCCTTTGCTGTCTTAGTTCGTTTTAGTCTCTGTCATTATGTTAGTTTCCATTTTTCTTCTGTATTATTAAAATATATATTATAAGTCTGGGTTTTTTTCTACAAATGAAATTTAAAAAAAATAGAATTCCATGGAAAGCTTAATAGATTTTCTGCTTTTAAAGAGAAGCCTACACAGTTTAAATTTCATGCTCACTTCACTTGTGTGAAAGCATTACCATCTGTTTCTTTCAGATTTTAAAACCTGTAAAAGCTCTACAGTTCCCAGCTTAAATAGTTCCCTGTTGCTTCATGTTTTGTAGAATTTTTAGTTATATAGAAAAAAGAATTAAGCAAATTACTGAAACTCATGTTTATAGCAGAGAAAAGTGAACACAGATTGAAAAGGGAGTTTGAATACACTTTTGTTAACATGGGTATTCCTTTTGTGGCAACCATTTTTATAGTGCTGTAAAACGTCATGGAATGACAGTAAAAACCTTCCCAATGAAGAAAGATTTGTGCAAATGTCATCTGTGAACAGAGGGTGTAAATTTGGAGCAAAGTGATATGAGTTCATGTCCATCTCATTTTCCTGTGAAGTAAGGGCTGATTTAGCACCCTTGTCATGTAGTAACTTATCTTCACAGTGGCTCTCATTCGCGTATAAAATAAGCACAAACACCATGCTTAAGTACAACTAAGTCTTTTAGAGAAGTATGAGGACCTTTCTGATTTTATAAATCATCTCCATCATCTGTGCTAAAGCTGCTTCTCCTGCTGCTCTCTTTTGATGCAGCTGGGGATGTGGAGGACAAGAGTGGGTCTGTTCCAAATGGAGACACTGTATCATCCAGTAAAATTTCTTCTAGTCGTTGCTCTTCTTTTAAAGCTGCACTGAAGGATAAATCTGTGAAGTGTGAAAGTGGATCGGAAAAGGCTGTAGATCCATCACAAACATCAGAATTTTGCTCATGTACTAGAGGCATTTGTTGAGAGTAGTCTACAGAGCTCTCTTCTGGATAAGATTGTTGCTTGATGACCTGTGCAGCTAAATCAACAGCACTGAGTGAAGATATGACTGGAAGGCCATGTGCACGTGCCTGGATCTCTAGTTCCTAATATTTCAAACAAAAACAATTAGAAAATTAATTTAAAAGACAAAACTGTGTCTTCAGAACTACTGCAATAAGTATACATATCATACATGCAACTTAATGATATTTTTGTTCCAGTTGTGAGGTTAATTTTAAAATATGAAATTGCTAATCTATGTAAATTTGCTACTAAAAAGCGTTTTTATTTCTCCTCCCGTTGTTAAGCAACTGTCCTATAGGAACATTAAAGATAAGACAACCTCTCTAAAACTATTGCATACTGAGCCCAATAAAGGTGACACGAAAATGTTGCAACTTTCTAATTAGTTATTCACAGTTGTCCAGAGAAACAGAAGATACTTTACTTGATGATGCTTATTATATACACATATATATGTAAAACATCACATAGAAGATGATTGATTTTGTGTCTATCCATCTCTTCTTCAAATGTGTCTATAATCAGATCCTGCATTTCAAGCCATGCAGGGCTATATTCTGCTGTTTCATGTCACAGGCAGATATAACATGGCACACTATACCCAAGAAAATATGACATTTGAAATGATTACAGAGGGAAAATGAAAATGCTGAAGGGAATTTTGTGTCCAGTATCGATTTTTTTTTTTTTTTTTTTTGCTGCATGGACGTACTTTTTTTGCTTCCTTTTTTGTCTTTCCTTGGCTCTAATGCATAAGAAACCAGGACAATAAGGAACTTGTTTCTACACTTTATTAACTTCATTAACTTTCCAGGTATTCCTTTATATAAGGTCTAATTATCAAATGAATTTCCTAGAAATCTAAAAAGTACCCCCTCCCCAATACACACAGCAATAAATAGGGAAAGTCAATTTATTTTTAATAAATGCCATTTGGTGGAAAAGGATATAGGTTAATAAAATTTGATGAGGGATAAGTACTGAGAAAGCTTTGTAGTTCATGGCAATGCTCTTATACAAACCTGAATTCGAAGTAGAAGTCTTCTGTTAGCATGCTCTAATTTCTTTTGCCTGTGTTCTAATTCTCTGGCTCTCTGTTGTTCTTTTTGTAGCCACTTGATGTACTCCACTGATGCTTTTAAAATAGTTCCTTTGTTCCAGCGCATATCACTGCAGAATGTAGAGATAACCTTTTCACAATTGTGCATGTCAGCAGAATTCATAAGAACTTACAAAATCTTTTACATTAATATGAAATAATGATTTACATGACTATTATTCACTCTTAGATATTATTGCTTCTGAATGGAAATTTTAATAGAATAGTTAAGAAGCCCTTATATAGTAAAATTAATCCCAGAATGAAAATAAGTGTCAAAAGAAAGTAATAAAGTGACTTTTTGTGGGAGAGCTAAATGCAATATCATGATTCTACCATTACAGTTTTTATATTTTTAGTGAAAATTGCTTTTATTATTAACTCTAAGATTAAAATCTATGTGCAGTATTTCTGCATTAATGAACTAGGAAATATACATCACTGAGGACTTAAGCCTAAATTTTTAAAGATCATTTTGAATATACTACTCCTTTTACCTGACTTGCTAATGAGGTTGCTTTTATGCTTGTGGAGAAAAAAATGGTCTGTGCTGAATGTGACTCCTCATTGATGACAAATCACACTTGCATAACTGTAATGTCTATGGAATGACAGAAATCCCGTTCAAAAATCTTGAAACAATCTAAACCAAGTTAAAACCCACAGCTACATGCAGACCCTGACTCCATAGAAAAGCTTTGCAAAAAAAAAAACAAACATTACACCTGTCCATCATTCAGGAAATCGTGGTTTAATTCCACCGTACAAGCAGCCTTACTAGCAGCAATACACTTGTTCAAATGGATCTCTTTCAAGGACTTTCACGTACACATTTATTAACTTTCCGTTGTATTCCTTTATGTAAGGTCTTGGAGGCCTTGGAACAAGGATGAAATTTGTTGAAAATGTTTAATTTCTGATAAAGAATAGTATTTTGTGATACAGGATGAGCCTGCTGTGTTAAATATACAGAGAAAAGAGTTTATCCAAACTATCCACTTCACTGCAAGACAGCTTAGATCGAGTGATACTAGTGATAAAACTTTATGGATCTGATAGCTTTAAAGATGCTCAGAAGAATATGCAAAATTATTTGTGATAAAACATTAGTGTTAAACCACATCCTAGAATTTAAAATATTTGCTAGAGATTTGGGAGAACCAGTTTTTTGATCAGAGAAGGCTCAGATTTTCCCCTCTGTCCTCTTTGGGCAGCACACTGGGACTTTCCCTTGTCTCAGTGATATAAGCCAGGAATGCACAGCTTTTGTGATTAGAAGGTGAGGAGGTCAGAGAGGAAATAATTATTGTCTCAGACCCTGCTGTCTGCAAAGCCAAAACATCAGAGGCTGCTTGCCAAAGTGGCCTCATGTAGACATTCCCTGGTCAAAAACCATTAAAGATGAGGTAGGTCTGGGAACCAAGAGCAGAACCTGTCTCCCTTATGACAGCTGCATCATCTCTTGGCAGTCTCTCTGCCTCCTCCCCCTCCCTGTACTTCTTGCCCAGGTGAGAGGACAGAACATTTTCCTGACAGCATCCCATGACCTCCCTTCTAGGAGAGGACTTTCTCCTCACATGTGGGATACCTATATTCAAACTGTAAAAGTTAAGGAAGTTTTTAGAGCACATGATATTTATTTTATGGACAAACCTTTGACTGCCATCACATTATAACCTTGATTTCTTCAGACATCTTTGGAAAGTTAGGTATAATAATGAAAGGTCCATATTTATGCTTTCATTATACTGGAGTTTGAAGGCAGTGAGGTGCCTCTCTACAACAGAGTAGTCCCAAACAAATAGGAGCAGCTTAATTTTGGAGAACAACAACATTTCAAACTGGGAATCTCCACTGTCATCTCAGATAAGATCTATATGTGCTATATATAGCTTGGAATTACAGTAGGGTTTTGTTTGATTTCAAGTGGAAACGACTGATTTAGGACATTTGCATGGCAACTTTGAAAAGTGCTACAGTAAGAAGAATACTTTCAGAATAAACTTCAGAGAAATACAGTCTGTCTAGGCAAGGGGGTCAGCTCCTCCTAGCATGTAATTAAGACAAAACTAAGCAAGTTTTGGACTGATTTTCTGAATATAAAGTATATCACTATGAAATTAAAAATTAAGCCATAGCTGGCAAAATGGAAATAATTAAGACATATAGCAGCAGGAGAAAAATATGGATATATCATCTATTTGGCAAATATTTAAGAGTTATTTCACAAAAAAAAAAAATCATGTCAGTTACAAAATATTATGAATTCAAAATCAAATTCAAAGATATTTTTTGTTAATTTTTCTCATTTACTTATGAATAAGCCATATATTCATGACTTTGTATTCATGAATATTCATTCTGTATTTGGAATCTTTTTGTGATGGAATACATTCATTGAAAAACTTTCTGATATTGCTTACTTTTAGACCCTGTTACCTCTATATTTTTATTCTTTACATATATGGTAATGTTTTGTTTTTCTCACAGGTTCAAATTAGTCTCCACTGGAGGGTTAATTCCTGGATTCAAATTGCCACAGAGACGGATCTCAGCAGCTTCTGCATGAGATATATATGGATAGACATCTCTTGTAGTAATATTTACAAATTTTAGAGGCAGTACTGTCATAGGGCTCTAGGATGCTGTGGCTACTGTTATAATTTAAGAGACTGTTATTTTATGTGTGTGTACATGTGCATATGCATGTACCCTGCATATTTTCTACATATCTACTTATATATACATATACTGGTTGTTGTCTTGTTAAATGAGGAATATTGAAGTTAAGTCTTTCAGTATCTGAAGGCAACACAGCAAAAGATCAGATGGTGACCTTAGAAGTCAACAACTTTTTCGCTCTGTGTCTCTCATTTATACAAGGATCAAAAGAAAATACTGAAGATGTCTGTGCTGGTTCTGCACTGCAGACACCCTCTAGCCATTCTATCCCAGAGCATCTACAGCAGTCACTGGACAGTGCTGTGGAGAAACAGAGGCTGTGTGCAGATGTGCAGGGTTGGGAGAGTAGCAGTATAACTAGTGAGGATGAAGTCAAATGGGGGGAATAGAACAGGGGAGTTGCCTATATAGCAATAGTCTGCAATGTATACAGCTCTTCTTAGCAAGGAGGCAGACAAGCAGATTCATCTAATGTGGGCTAACTCAGGATCTGAAGATGGATTAAATACAAGTACAGCAAGTGCATAGGAAGAATTTGAAAATTCCCTGATCAGTTGTTATTTCTCTGAAAATACTGAATTCTAAATTGGATGTAAATAAAAATATCCAAAAAGTTATGAAAGTGGCATGATGAAATCGTGGGGTTTTATTTTTAAAGATTCATATTTTGTGCTTGCTCAGTATATAATAGAGGCAAAATTTGAAATGACAAGGCGTACAAACCCATTTGAGAACATTTAAAAACTGAGCAACCGCTGGCAGTTGCTAGTCTTTTGACTGGAAACTATATTATAAAACCAGACAAATAGTTGCATTCATAACTGTTTTGAACATACAAAGTTAGATATAGATCTCTCTCTTTGGAGACAGAAGGAATCCTTTTTTTTTCATTTCACTCTTTCACTGCCTATTAGTTCCTTTCTTTTTGGGGGAGTGGGGGGGAAGGGTTTGTTTCTTTGCTTGCTTGGGTTTTTTTATATGAGGTTCCATCCAGTAAACACTGAAACACATCGGAAACTCTACATGAGAAATAGTATGAGAGCAGTAAGAAGTTTTGCAGGTCTAGTCATCAGCAATGATCTCTGCAAATGAAGACTGTCTCGTTGCGTGCGCATGTGATGCAACATTTTGAAATGTTTAGCAAGCTATGCATGTGAAATCTGGGTTAATTAGGAGAGGTCTACCACACATAACATGATTTTGCATGGAAAAGGAGCAAATAAGTAAAAACCCCCAAACTGTGGTTTATTAGTCTCTGAACCCTAGCTCCTCCAAATTTCGCCAGCTAAATCTCTCTACAAATCGCAAATGCTCAGACAAAAACATGTAACTGTCACCTAGGAGAGTTTCTCATTTAAGAGAAAAGAAGCATAGCCATTAGACTGATCTTCAACTCATTTCCATTGAAGACAAAGGAACTTCACTGGTTTACACAAGTTGAACTCCAGAGAGATGAGCACCTGATCATCTAAGACTAAAACTAAACAAAAAAAGTTTGGGAAAGGGTGATAGTCACTGAGATTTCCAGCCACAGAGCAGTTACTGATAACAAATACATTTGTGAAGTTGAAACTACATTTGTAGACCGTTTCTTTCCCTATTCTCGAGAAATTAGCTATAAGCTAAGCTTGAAGGACTTTGCACTTGTTTTGATGACCTGCACAATTACAAAGTGATTCTCTGGAAAGAAGCATCAAGTTTCCTCTTTATAATAGCAATATATATATATATATGTATATATACACAAGCTTTTCCTCTGCAAGAAATATGGGTTTTGCTGGCCACTAACAGATCTGTCCACAAACAACAGAGAGAAAGTCAGGCACTGGCAGATGCAGACAGCAGAGAAGAGAGAGTGAGAGCAACCCACTACTTCTGCCCAAATCCTCAGTGGTTCTCTTAACATCCCAGTTCTGTACAATGATTGGAAATCTTAAAGGAAATATTTTTTCTTCTTAGTATTTCTGACAATTCTAGTCATAAGACAGTTCTTGTGTAGGCATTTCCAGACTCTATCACAACGTGAAGTCCAGTTAACCACTTAAAAGGTGGATTCTGAAAGGCTGAACACAAAGGAACAGTGAATGGAAAGGTAGATATATTTAAAGGAGCAGGTTATATGCTTTTCAGCAAAATATGACTGCGTATTTTAAGTCCTTTTTTTAATTCTATTTTTGAATTATTCTGTATAACTGTTTTGCATTTCTGAATCATCTACCTCTTGGATATCTAAGCATTGAAATTAAACAAAAGAGTCAAAGTTCTTTGCAACTCATACTTATCTCCATTTTCTAATGCTGATGAAGTGAACTTGAAACACCCATTCATTTAAGCAATGCAATCCACACTTTTCATCATTAAATTAAAAAAAAAAAAAAAAGAAGAAAAAAAGTGAGAAGAATAGGGGTTTAAGCCAGTCAAAAGAAAGTCCCTGTGGAATCTCTGCAGGAGCCAAACAAGTTCACTATATAACTAACAAAACAGAAGTGAAATAAAAACCCCACACACCACTTCTAAGAAATATAAATCATAAAAGGTTTCCAAATAGCATCAAAAATGTCCTTTTCTGTTCCTGAGTCTGAATGTAATCTTCTTGAAGCAAGCCATCAGGGACAGGCATGCTAACCACAATGGCTTAGTTATAGTAGTATTTGCTCTTCAATACAAAAGCTGATTTGCTTCACTGTCATTAGTCCAAGCATCAGTAAGGTTTCTCCTTTTACAGCTAAGTTCCCACTAAAAGACGAATCTTCTAAAATCAATATATAAGGTGAAAATGCTATGTGTGGTAAAATGTTACAGATAAGGTATTGTAAGAGATGATACATCTCTTTCTTTCAAAGAAGAAGGGGGCAGATTGGGGGCACAGTAAGGTGTTATGAAGGAAAAAGCAAGAGCTGAAAGAGAGGGTAAGGACACTGAGTTATGATTTGGCAACACAGGACCACACCAGAAAGAAATAATAATATTGATCTGCTCAGCCAACAAAACAACATAACAAATTAATGTACTTCAACATACTAATATATATTTTTAAAAAGTGTTTACACTTCTTTGGATTAATGTAAGCTGACACCAAGATACAGAAAAGTTATGAGCTACTTCTTCAAAAGCATCCTGCACCTTTTGATGCCTCTTTTTTTTTTTAACACCAGCTTGAAAGATTCTAAATGAACCTATTTTCAAAAGGAGTACTGATTACCAGCCTTTTGAAGACAGCAGTCCTCAGAACATGAGACACTTAAGTTCACCTCCTGCTTTTGTAAACATGAGCCACTTTGGGGCTGTCACGCTGATTATTTCAGTCATGGGTTTTCAGACTGAAACAAGAAAAGGCGGTGTTTTCAGGTTCTATACCTGAAGCTTTTTCATCAATGCCACCATCAAAATCTGGGGGTAAAATCCATCATACACTTACTGGAGCAAAATTTAAGTTCGGATCATTCATTTTAAGAACTTAAGTGATTGCTGTAGGCATTAATATTTTGAGTAAGTTCACAACCTAAAGCTGAATCCAGACCAAAGCATGTAACTGACTCACCTCTGTAGGCAATCATAAATCACAACTGGATTTTATACCTCATGTCCATTTCTAATTGCAGTATAACTTGCTTTCAGTATTGCTTTATAGCTGCAAACCAACAGTGCCATCCACTGTTTTTCTGAGAAATCTTTCAATCACTTGCCCAAATGGTCTTGAATACTGAAAAATGCACCAGTAAAATTAAAAGTCTTCTACCACTCTGTGTTTGCAATGGATCACATGTGGCCAAAAATTTATTTAGGTACTTAAAGCCCTTTTTATTTTAACTCAGCAGCGATACCTAATTCTATATTGATAACAAGAACATGCCCATTTATCTAAGCTTGGGTGGATGCTGTTGAAGGAGCCAAATTTGAGAGTTCTCTAAAATGGATTTATGTTAACTTTCTCTCTGATGATTTCACTCCAGTGGCTTGTTATTCCAACCTTGCACTTACGTAAGTCTCACACAGCTTTATATTGTTGTAGAAATCCTTAATACACTCAGAAGTTTCTTAGTCCCAAGAAAAAGAAAAAAAAACCACAAAGGCTGAAATATCAATAGATATTTTCATTTGAAGTATCATGCAAGTCTTTATTGACATGCAAATGGTAAAGACAAAATCTTGTATAACCAATTTTATTCAAGTTAGAGTCATGCCAGTGCATGGTTTTAAGATTTCCCTGAGTAACATGAGAAATACAAGGCTAAGGATCAGCATTAAATATCACTCTGAATTGGTATTGCTAATCCTGCAATAGGCTTTTTTCATATTGATGACAAATATAAGCTTTAAGGGAATGCAGGTATCGCTTAAGGAACATGCATTTTCTATTACTGTAAGTATAAGCATTACTATAAAATTATAATATTGTAGCAATTATAGCAATTATTATTTTTATCCTTGCATTTTAGGAATGGTGTTTTCCCTGCGCTGAGTGGAGGACTTCTGAAAAGTGCTCAATCTACAGACTCAAGCTGATTTTTTTTTTTGTGTTTAGGCAAAGGGTATGCAGTGACAACACGCATTTTGTTTTATCCCACTAGAGGGCCCATGTCAAGGGCTGAAAGCATCACTCCTTCCTTCGGCAGAGACACCGCACAATTGCTCCTAGGAGCAGAGTGATGGACTTTCTGTTGTTTGGCTTATCTTATTTTTTTCCTATTTTACGTTTTGTTTAGATTTTGTTTTTTCGGGCTTGTTGGTGGTGGTTTTTTTCCTGGTGTGAGAAACACCTGCAACTACTTTCATTTTATTATCCTTTCACATAAGTTTTTCCAACAGGACCCAGAAATCTGTCAGAGGCTTGTTGCTTTAACAGCCTGATCTGAGCCAGCGACCCAGCATGGAAGACTTTGATTCCCATTACTCAGTCCTATAGTTAGTGTATGCAACTGTCTTTTCCCCATTCTTCCTATTTCCCCTCCTTCCCTCCTTCCCCCTCCACCACCCCTATATTTAAACTATAAACTTTATTATAGGAAAAGCTGTTGAACTCACGGATCATTAGACTTGGGGATGAGTGTGCCAAGCTCCTTGATTCGATAATTAATATTATACCTTCTTCTCCTCTCAACTGTTAAAAAGAAAGAGTTACTATTTTTATGGTGAAATATTCTTGGAGAAATTGAACATAAAACATTTTAATTAGATAAAAACAAGTCAGTCGATGTACAGAAAAAATCTTCCTCAAATAAAAGTTCCAACACGATCTCTTACCTGCCTCTGACTTACTCACAGGACAAACTCCATGATTAGTACTATTTTTTTATTTTACCCTACCTAAAGGTTTCTCCCCCATTTACAACTAGACTCCTAGAAAATGAAATAGTCACATATTGTCTAAACATGAACTAACACTTCTTTTTTTTTTATTCTGATGTTTAGGTATCCATTTTCCACTCTGTTTCCACACAAGGGAGTTTCACCTTAGTGGAATTTGCAGATGACTTGAACAGTGCTCATTTTTAATATTTAGACACTGAACTATGAATTTCACTATGTTCTAAGCCTAAAGTGCAGGAAACTATTCCTCTAGAACTGCAATAGCTAATATGTGTGCATGGCCGCACTGTTCTTCATAAAGGAAAGAGAAGTGTATCCCAGCCTACAGCAGCTGAGGGGCTTGTGTATCAGAGCAAAGTCAGCACTGTGTGTCCTGCCCTGATCTCCTTTGGTGACTTACAATTTCCCCAAGTGTAAGTGCTCAACTAAGTGTCTAGAGATTGCTTGATATCCTCTGCAAATATTTTTGCTTCCCATCACCCTTAGAGAGATACAGCCTCTCACTTGGGTGCTTCAGCAAATAAGGTGTGAAGAGTGGATTTTCACTGCTGGTTTTTTCACCATCTGCCTCCTTTCTTGTCTGTTTTGCACTGTAATTCTTAGAGACAACATAAAGTAGAGTGTGCAGGTTACATGTACAACTTTAGAATAAAAACTAGTAGCAGGAGATGATACGTAAAGAAATTAATTACAATAAGCAAGTATTTTGAAAGTCAAAATTTGCAAAAAATTAATTTCAAGGAAGAAATCTCTGTGGTTGGCTGTGTTTGCAGACGGAGTTCAATTTGATTACCCTGGTAAGTTGCTGATGTAGAAGAAGAGCAGAGACATGGCAGCTAATGTATTTTATTTTTGTATTCCTCATACATTCCATTTAATTAGGTGGAAGATGAACATATACTTACTGAGATTATGGTTATCCTTTTTTTGTCTCTCCTTTGCCATTGCTCGTGTATCTGCTTCTGACAGAAAGTAGCATTTATTAAAACAGTTCTGAAGTTGCACTTTCAGTACTTTAACATTTTCAAAATGGCCTCTTGTCGCAAAAAGCAGCTTTCTACTTCATTACTCTTTTTGTTATTATACAAGATCATAAGCTAATCTATATTCTACTGGTACTAAATTTTGAGTAAGTCTGGCAGGTTAAGGATTTTCTATTGCACATTTTTTATTTAAGAATATAGAAATGACATGGTGGGGTACTTTTCTCCAATTTACTGTACTTTATATCAGGATAAAACTTACAAAACACTAATGTGAGTATGAATTTGTATATCCCATAATGCAAGAGTTAATCAGATTTGTAAGATATTGAACAAACTCACTGTTTCCACTGAGCGACACTAATAAACTGTACATGGTTGTTAGCATTCTTTGGATTAATTGAATGTAACTTTTAAAGTTGTTAATCCATTAATATAGATTTACCTTGAATAGCCTTATTGTAAGGCTTTAAAAGAACCATTTGTTCTACCCTGGAACAAATTTAATGGATGATAATTTATTTATACCATCGATCAGGAGCCAAATGTGGAAGAATCCACTATGTTTCTCAAAATAATTAGTTTTATTAGAAGCATGAAGTTCATAAAAATCAGGGAACAAACATGTTTTCTGAATTTCTAAAGAGAACAGAATAAATCGTTTCTCTTCGGTCTTTGTTCTTTTCCTTAAATGAAACTACAAACTGCAAAATTCTCAGGAATTCAGTTATGGACATCTATTTCATAGGTAAGATTTATTCAACTTCTAAGAGACAAACCATCTCTTCCGCAATTATAAAATACTAAAATCTCAGACTTCTTTTACCTGTGAGTTCCCTTTTTACTGGTAGATTAGCTGGGCAAGCATTTGTGAGACCCATGTTAGCTGGTGCCATTCCCTGGTCACTGTTATATATATCCAAAATGCTGCTAGATAGCTTGAGGAGTAAGGGGAGGAAAGAAAAAAAATATTAAATAAGGTAAGAACTTGAAAGTTTTAAAGAACATAAATACACAGAGCAAATTTCTTTGAATATGAGTCGTGTTAATTAGAAGGAACTGTGTATATGTGTCAAAAGGGGAAGTTTATGTAGTATTAAGTAAAATTGAAAACAAAGGGTCATAGCCTGCCACTGTTACATAAGCAGCTTTCTAAGTGCCATTTCTGTGGGTTTCAGATGCAGAATGATGGCAGGATATGGCCCCAGTGTCTGTTTTTCGATTACTTCCATACCTTATTTTCCAATAACAGGATTAGCACAAATGCACTTCAAACATCAATTCGGATGAAAGTGAAAATAACCTTGCTGGTTTTGACCTACTCACCAGTGAATTTTTAACCACAACACTAAACTCTGAATTGCTACTTCACACTGTGCCTGGTTTAGCAGTATGAAGATTCAGTGACCCAGTTAGATGTAATAGTTAAAATTAGAGTGGACAGAATATCAAAGAAACTGCTTTAAGGAAAGAAATCGTGCTGTTGTTAGGATAGACCAGATAACCTAATAGTTTTATGATCCATAACATGTAAGATCATGTATACCATTACCTTCAGAAATGTAATATAACATTATTTAAATAAACCTATAGAATGTGCTTAAAGAGAAGTAGGGCTGAAGTATGTGTCTGTTGATTCCAGATAATTATCCAAATATTACTTTTACTTGAATAATTTTACATATCTGAAATAACTGTAAAATTCATAAAAGTTCAGTAAAGAACAACAGTTCAGGCTTTGCACAATTTCTATGACCATATAACCAAACTTTCAGCATTGACCATTGTCTTATGCACATATAATTTCATGTGCAAACAGCTGTATAATGAAGTCCAAATGGAGATTCATGCAAAAAAAATTTTGCATTCTTATTGCCTTCTGTGCCAATAACAGCAACACATCTTTTTCATTTTATCATGCGTATAATGTTTGTGCTGAAAGTTTTTCTTTTGCAGCCACCACACAAGGGCAGAGAAAGTGAGTTTGGTGCCTCCTGGCCAAGCAAAAAGGAAAAATAAAAAGGAAGAAAAAGTGATAAAAATTGGGGGTAAGAATACTGATATGAAACAGCATTTTCTTTAAGAAAATTGTTTTTCATAGACAAAAAAATATGTTTTTACAGATATGCTCTGCACCCATGGATCCTGAAATACCCCGGAATTTTTCAGACAGCTCGCTGAGACGCCACCCATAGTTCTGCTGGGAACCAGCTTTTTTTAGACTCTGATTATAATTTTACTAAATTATCTGAGAACCCAGATTGTTTTAAATTCTCACTTGTATAAACTGCAATGAACTGAAGCAATCAGGATTCTTTTTTTCATACATATAAGTAACATTAATTTTTAAGATAGAGGTTTATTACTTAAGAGAGCTGTCAATTCTTAAATACCTTTAGAAATCACAACACCAAGTCAATTTTGAAAACCTGCTTACATATTTGATCTCTCAATGAAAATACTTTTTAAAAGAATGCTTGGAATTCAGTGGAGTATTACTCAAGAACAAGCTATGTTTAATATGTAGGATTTGAATTCTAAGCGCATTCTCACATTAAGCGCCTTAGTTTCATTCCAGAGTGGTAAACTGACAAGTAATACTGAATTCACTGCAGCTTCACCTTTGCATTTTCTTTCTTCCAAGCATAGTACAACTACATTGTACCTGTTATTTATGAACAGAAAAGGAATTGTGGGTGATGTGGTGTTTGGAGGCTGTCATGGGCACAGTGATCATGAGATGATAGCTCTTCCAACTCTTGGAGAAGTAAGGAAGAGGGTCAGCAGAACTGTTATCTTGAACTTTTGGAGGGCAGATTTTGGCCTGTTTAGGAGACTGACAGAGTCCCTTGGGAAGCAATGTTGAAGAGCAAAGGAGTCCAGGATTCTAATCACTAAGAGTGTCAAAACCAGCATCATTCTGTCATACCATTAAGGAGAAATTTGATCTAATGCTAACTGTCCTAAATTATTCTTCAGAACTTGGACATTGGAGAATAACCCTATGCAACAGCTCTGTCACAGACTGCATGCAAAACTCTCACTCATTTCCCTATCTTGAAAGCATTAATTTCTAAGTGTCAGAATCACAGGTATGACTAGTAGAACTGGTTTTAATAATCCATACTTAAGATACTTTTGAGGAATAGTGAATGGTTTGACTCTTAAGGCTGTCATCACCTCAGTCACCGTGCTGAAGGATTGGAAAACAGAATAAACAATTTACTCAGCTGGCCATAAAAAGGACACACACAGAAAAAGTTTCTGTTATTGATACCTTTATCCCTTCCAGGTCTGGGTTTGCTGTCTCCCTTCAGCATTTGTCTGGATGATTCTGCTCAAAAAAAGTTGTGCTAATCACACTATCAAGTACTTTCTTCTGTGTATTTAGCAGAAATCTCAGGTATATTGTAGTGGCCACTATAATGGATAAGTGGTTTCTTTATGGATAGAGTAGAGCCACTGGTGATCTCCATTTGACACACTGTCCTCATTCTCAGTTAGCCAGCATAGCATTTTCACACTTGCAGTAGGGCAAATTGGGTATAAAGCACCAGTAAATTAGACTACCTTGACAGTCACTTCTTTCCTACAGCTATGGTGACACATTGAAATATCTGCTATGAATTAGTGCACAAGGAATAACTGTCAATGTCAGGATTCGGGATCAGAAGAAGAAATAGGAGGTGATTAATCTGACCTGTCTTGGACACTTAGAGTGAAGTGTAGTGTATCACCTGCATTTTCTTAACTCTAAAGAAAGCCTGGTGTGACTGTTGCAGGGTTTCTCCTGCATGTACCTCCTCATGACACCTCACTGTGCACTGAATGTGAAAATTTGCAAATACACTCTCATTTTAAAATCACATAAGAACAAAGCAAACCAGACTGGATTATTCTTGAAAAATATTCACATTTCTGATTATGGGAGAGTTTTAAAAATAAAAAAATATATCAAAGTCCTTTGTTGAAACTGAATTTGCCCTGCATTGATAACAACCATGGAAGATCCCAAGCAATTTCCTTGCTAACATGACTGAACACTGAGAACAATCTTAAAATAAAAATTGTCCAATTTTGATACAACATTAGGAGAGATACTTTTCTTGTCTGTTATAGCAGGAAGCTTTTTTACAAATACAGACATCTGGGAAATAACTAATTCTGAAAGTATAAAATTAAAATATATAGCATAATATATTATATAGACTGTGTATCAAAGTTCATCTAGTTGTTTGGACATGGCATATAGACATAATGCAATGTATTTCTTACAATGTCATGTAAACAGGGATAGTCTTTGCAGCATTCAGGCTTCAAGTAGCTTCCAGTTCTACATTACAAGATAAATAAGTACATTGACATAATCTTACAAAATCTGATACAATCTTACTAAAAGTACAATTTATTTGCAATTTGTGATTATATCATATGTGTACAATGATAATATTACAAGTATGCAGAACTGTCACACCTGATGAACCCCAAAGCATATTAAACTTCAGATGATTACACTATGTCAAAAGCATGTTCTTGCTTTCAATTTAGAGATATGGAAACATTTAGGTATGAAAAGTTCTGGGAAATAATCTATTTACCCTGCAGGTGTCATGAACTGCATTAGGTCGCACCTGTGTTGTTCTGAGAAGTCCTGGTAAGTCACATAATTTCCAGCCTTTCCGTTCATGATACTCATATTTATGTATGTGTGTCTGAGAATGTAGATACAAGTGGCTCAGAAGGGGTGAGGACACACATATTAAAAATAGCAGTATATAATTAGCTTTTTTTTCCTAGTTCTAAAATACAGCTAGCTTTGGACAAAAGATTAACAACCTTTAACACAGTGAATGGTTAAATGGGAATAACCAGTGACAATGTGGTACAGGAAGAGAATAATACCATATCTAATTAAAACTGCAAGGAGAATTAAAGAAAGCAGACTGTAATTAACAAAGTTAGCATTTGGCAAGGACACTGGGGTTAACGTCCCTCCTTTTGTATAAACTGTCAAGGGATCTTCAATGCCTGTGTGCAGAGACTGGAACATGAGAATTTCCATTCATGGGGCTCAGTCTGGAAAGATGCTCAACTTAGAATTTAGACCAATTATAAATGACAACTTCAGCTGAAGAACCTGAGTAAGTACCTGGCTTCAGATCAGCAGCATCTCACAAGAGCCTGTGACCATGTGCTTGCTGGCAATTTCCAAGACAAGTACTATAAAGGTCTCGTACAGAGAAGCTTATTATATTCAATACTTGGGTCTGAACTGCTATGCAGGCATCATTGTCTGGAAAACATTAAGGGTTCGTTACCTGCATGGATGTTTAGCAATGGACAGCTGTAATCACGCAGCATGGCAGCCATTGGTAAATATGTAATTTCAAGGAAGACTTAAACCAAACAACATTTCTATATCTTCCAGGAATGAAAGGGAAAGATTCTCAATATGGTAATAAAATATTTGGATACAGGTTGTCTGTGCCTGTTCACCTATAGTTCCTAGATATCTCAATGTCACAGTAGTGTCACTTACATGATCACATACTATATTTTTTCATTTTGGCTAATTTTCTCATGACATGTTTGTCTTATAGTAACATTCAAGTCTGTAAGGATCATGGCTTTATCACTGTCAATGTTGCACAGCTAGAAAATAACACCCTACCCCTCTTCCTAAGTCAGCTAGATTTTATTTAATTTAAAAATTTTGCTGAATGTGGAAATATGCCCAGTCTGGAAAACAGTTCCTGGATATTGTGTTCATTTAACATATCATCGCATAATCCACTTCATAAACCGTTAATGCTCTGTCTAAAATCAATTAGATTTCATATCTCCAATATTTTTATTTGGAGTATATTCCAAAAGTGAAAAGACTGCAACTTATTGTTAAAAAACTTTCTTTTTATTGCCATTCACAGACAAATTTTAT